AGCATTTAGAGTAGTTTTGCTAGTTCTATGAGGAATGTCATTGTAGCTCTGATGTAGATTGTACTGAATATGTAGATTATTTTCAGTAATATTTTTATAGAATCAATTCTGCTGATCTTTGACCATGGAAATACCATTTTCTTGTGTCTTAATTTTTTTCTTTAGTTTTAAAATTTTCATTTATTTATTTAAAATTTTATTGTAGAAGCATTTGCTGCTGTGTCCAGCTTCTTCCCCTTAGGATAGCCAGCCTCTTGTGCTCAGAACTGGGCTGGAGGGAAGCTGAGCAGGGTGTGTGGGTGCAATGCAAGGCCTTGGTCGACAGTGAGTCCACAGGCAAAAAATACACACCCCCAGGAACAGTTTCAGGGAACTGGTTCTGTTTATTGGAAGGAAACAGGGTCTTTCTGCCTCTGGGAAAGTGAGCAGGGTCTCTGGGGCAAGGTTTGTATGGCCATGTACAATTGGCAAAAACAAGGGTGTTGAAACGAATACTTCAGGTGTGTGCTCAGGGGTCAGGGACTCCGAGGGGGAAAAAACCTTGTAACGTCAAACAAGAAGACTGTCAGGGTAGTATATTCTTACTGGGGTTGATAGTGGGGCAGCTGACTTTCAGGCACTAGGTTGAAAGAGGGAAGGGAGCTCTCCTCTACCCTTCCCCCATTAATCCTGGGCTACTATGGTCCCATTGTCATTTGTTCTTTTTTTTTTTTTTTTTTAAGCTATTGTGAATGAGATATCTTCTCATTTCTTTCTTGACATGTTCATTATTCGTGTATAGAAAAACTACTAATGGGCTATTGAGATGACTTAGTTCCAGCAATTCTGGAACCTGGGTTAGGATCCCTGGTGCCCCTATGGTAGAAGGATGGAGCTCACATCTATTAAATCTTCTTTCCCCACACATGTACTGTGGTCTTCAGGGTCTTTTAAGTACAAGATCATGTCATTATATGAGAATAGGAATAATTTGGACTTCTTCCTTTCTTACTTGTATTCCTCTTGTTTTTATTTTTTCCTATAGACTTTGAGCCCTATATTAAACAAGAGGGGATAGTAGACATCCAGATTTTAGAGGAAATAGCTCTTAGTTTCTCTCAACTTGATATAATGTTGGCTATAGGTTTGTCATATATAGCTTTTATTATGTTAGAAAATGTTTCTTCTGTTTTCTTTAGGACTTTTATCATGAAGGGTTATTGAACTTTACCAAATACCTTCTCTGTATTTGTTGAGATAATTATGTGATTTCTGTTCTCAATCTGCTTTTATGTTGTATCATATTACTGGCTTGCTTATGTTGTTCTGTTGAATATATCCTAGAGTTCTTGGAAGCTTTGGTCATACTCGGCTTTTTTCTTTCTGTATATCAGTATATATTATTGTCTCCACCTAGCCTTCCATTCTTTTTTTTATACATATTTTTTATTCCCTTTTTTTAAACTTTTATTAGTTACACTTTATTCACTTTGTATTCCCCCATAAACCCCTTCCTCCTCCCCTCCTAATCTCACCTGCCCTTCCCCTTCTTCACGTATCCCCCTCCCCAAAGTCTACTGATAGGGGAGGTCTCCCTCTCCTTCCTTAGCCCTCCATTCTTGATATCCTTTCTAGTCTTCTAAAAATGTCATAGTTTCCTTGCAGAATATTTTTTTTTTTTTGTTTCTTTTTCTGGTTTTTTGAGACAGGGTTTCTCTGTGTAGCCCTGGACTCACTTTGTAGACCAGGCTGGCCTCGAAATCAATCCATCTGCTCAGATAAAGTCCTGCACCACCACACCCAGCTAATTTTTCCTTTTTTTATTTAACATTTTTATTTTTTAGTTTCTCTTCTAAATTACTGACCATTGCATCTGCTTTGCTAACTTTTGTGCTGTGTTTAGAGCCTAAATTAATTTGCTTATTGCCTCATTCAACTGTTTTAGCCTCGTTGTGGCCATAGATCGTGTGTGTGTGGGTGCGCGCACGCGTGCCCACACGCGTGCCCACACACAGGCACACACACCAGAAGTCAATGTCTGATGTCTCTCAATTTGCCTTATTTAAGTGGCTACTCTGGCTAGTCAGCAAAACAATCCCCCTATCTCTGACTCTCCTGTAGTGGGTTCACAAATTTATGCTGCCATACCTTGCATTTTATATGAGGTCTGAACTCAGGTTTTCATGCTTGCAGAGCAAGGATTTTACTGGATGACCCATCTCCCTTGCCACTGTTGATGCTTTTTAAAAGTAGGAATTGTTTTCTGGCATTTCATCAATCTCATTATCTTTGGCTTTCTATATTTGAGGAATAATAAACTTGTGAAAGTGTCATAGAGGCTTGTTCTCAAATATTTTGTTGTTGTTCTTTTTGTGTCTGTTGGTTGGGGTTGTCTTCAAGTTTTGTTTTGTTTTTTTTTTGTTTGTTGGTTGTTTTTTTTTTTTTTCAAGACAGGGTTTCTCTGTGTAGCCTTGGCTGTCCTCAAACTCACTTTGTAGACCAGGCTGGCCTTGAACTCACACAGATCCACCTGCCTCTGCCTCCCCAAGCACTGGGATTATAGGCATGCGCCACCATGCCAGGCTTTAAAAAAAATTTTTTTTAAAGTTTTATTCATTTATTTTTATGTATATGAATGCTGTATCTGCAGGTTACACCTGCACACCAGAAGAGGGCATCAGATCACATTACAGATGGTTGTGAGCTACCATGTAGTTGCTGGGAATTGAACTCAGGACCTCTGGAAAAGCAGACCACTGAGCCATCATCTTCCAGATTTTATTTTACCCTTTATCTCTCTCTGTTTCTTTTATAGAAGACTTTCTGGTAAATTATATTCATTGGATTTATGTTCCCTGCTTCTGTTTAGGGTAGAAACCAATTGCAGTAACACAAATTGGTTTGACAACAGCCCTGGTGTTAATCTATAACAGAAGACACATGAGAAGGCTCAGAAGCAGCAATGATTGTACTTATTGGGAAAAATGTAGTTCACAGACTTTTGTAGCTAAGATTATGAATAGCCTGTGAAATGAGGTGCTAGAAAAGAGAAATGTGGGAAAATACAGTGTGTTTGAGAGGAAAAGTATATGGATAAAAGGGTATGCAAAATAAGAAAATAATACAGAGTAGGTGCAAAGAATGAATGATAACAGACAGATAGATGCTAAAGCAACAACCAAAGAACAAAAATATAAATAATAAGTAAAATAAAGAGTAATAATGAGCACTAAAATGAAATAGAAGGTATTAGGACCGTGTTTATTACTTATTCCTGGTTGGGATATGGTTTCTACTTCCCCTCTGATGTCTTCTGTAGCAGTTTCTTACAGGTTGGGGAAGACTGCTGGTCTCAGGAATGCAAACACACTGGTGTGTCCTTGCTTTGAGAGAGTGAGGGTGGGGCTTCACTCTCCTGCCAGAGACTGCATTTCTTCTTTTCTCTCTTTCTCTCTCTGCTTTCTATGTATTCTCGCATGTATTACATCCAGATTGCAGTTTCCCCTCTCTCCCCTCCCCTCAACCGTCTCTACCTCCACTTTTCCTCCACCTTCCCCTTCACTTCCCCTTAGAAAAGAGCAGGCCTTCCAGGAACATTGACCAAATATGACATAACAAGCTACAGTGAGACCAGACACATATTCTCACATCAAGGCTGGACGAGGCAATCCAGTAGGAGGAAAAGGATCCCCAAAGCAGCCAAAAGAGTCAGAGACAGCCCCCCACTCCTGCTGTTAGGAATCCCACAAGAATACCAGGTTACACAACCATCACATATGTGCTTATAACCCAGGTCAGACCCATACAGGCTCCCTGATCTCTGTGAGGCCGCTTGAATCCCAGTCAGTTGATTCTGTGCGCTGTGTTCTTGTAGTGTTCTTGATCCCTTTGGCTCCTCCTATTCTTCCTCCACCTCCTCTGCAGGGAGCTCTACCTAATATGGCTATGGGACTCTGCATCTGCTCCCATCAGTTCCTGGGTGAAGTGTGTCTGGTCTTTCTGATTATGATAATGCTAGGCGTCAGTCCCAGAACATCATGCAGGCATGACAAACTCTCGGTTGGAGGTGTTGTGGCCAGGTTGGTGCCCCAATCCCCCTACCTGAGGCCTTGTCTGGTTACAGCAGACAGCTGGTTCAGCTTCCATGTCCCCCGTCACTAGGAGTCTTTGATAGTGTCACCCTTGTAGATTACGTGGCGTTTCCATTGCACTAGGTTTCTGCCTCATCTACCTCATCCCCAAAATGCACCCTGGCTCCAGGTGTCTCTCCCAGTATTCTCTCCCCCAGTCCAAACTTGAAGTCTATTCTAGGTCCCCATTCCCAGGAAGATCCCTGCATCTCCCCTTAAGCCATCCTTGTTATTTAGCTTCACTGGCTCTGCGGATTGTAGCATGATTATCCTTTTAATATCTAATTATAAGTAAGTACATACCATGTTTATCTTTGGGTCTGAAGTACTGCACTAAGGATGATTTTTTTTTTCTTCCATGCTAGCAAATTCATGATGTCTTTTCCTTTTTAAACAGCTGAGTAGTACTCCATTGTGTAAATTATTATTATTATTTATTATTATTTACTCCATTCTTCAGTTGAGAGACATTGAATTTGTTTCCAGTTTCTGTCTATTATGAATAAAGCTGCTCTGAACAGAGTTGAGCGGGTAACCTTGTGGTAGGATGGACCTTCTTTTGGGTTTATGCCCAGGAGTGGTATGGCTGAGTCTTGAGGTAGATGGAGTCTCAATTTTCTGAGAAACCACCAAATTGATTTCCAAAGTGGCTGTACAAGTTCGCACTCCCACCAAAACTTACAATAAAGCACTTTGTGAAACAGCAAAATATCCTTTATTATTGTATTTTTTTTTTTTTTTTTTTTTTTTTTTTGTAGATACACTCTGTGCAGTTCTAGAAAGAGACACACTGAGTATCCGAGAAAGTCGACTTTTTGGAGCTATTGTGCGTTGGGCAGAAGCAGAATGTCAGAGACAACAATTGCCTGTGACATTTGGGAACAAACAGAAAGTTCTAGGAAAAGCACTTTCCTTAATCCGGTTCCCACTGATGACAATTGAGGAATTTGCAGCAGGTAAGACTGTAACTTTACTAATTTGGAACTATTTTTAGGCAAAAAAAAAAAAAAAAAGCAGACTTACTAAGTACTTGTTACATAATATATTTGTATATAATTTCATTTAGTTCTCATAAGAGCTGTTTAAGATAACATTGACATTTTATAGGTCAGAGAAGTCAACTAGAAAAGATTAGTGCCTTGCCCAAGGTTAGAGGAACATATCTTTTGGCCTTTATGGATGCTGCTTCTGATTAAAATGAGACAGACCTGGTTTTCAATTTCAGTGTGTGACTGGCATTCACATGGTAGTTCACAACACTCTTGTAACCCCCGTCCTCTTCTGGCCTCTTTGGGCACCAAGGACGTACATGATGCAGACATGAGTGCAGGCAAAACATACATATAGAATAAAATAATAAAAATTAAAAAGAGCATCCATATGCATGTCATTTGGTATACGTGTAAATATTTGTTGGGGATATAAGAGTAGAACTACTAAGCCTACAATAAATAGTTTAGCATTAGTTTATCCTGTCAGTTTTCCAGTGTGGTTTTAAGTCCACACTGAAGAACAAAGTTAGGACTGACAAAATTCAGTTTCATTTTTCACATAACATTCTTTTCTTAATACTTTATATCATTATGATTGTAGCTTGCTCCTATTGCTGTGATTAAAGACCATGACCAAAAGCAACTTGGAGAGGAAAGAGTTTATTTCATCTAACAGATTGGAGTACTTTCCCGGCATATACATAGTATTGGGTTTAACACCACAGCAACAAAAAAGTGATAATTTTGTGGTAGAGTTTTCTCTTAGAACTGTGATTATAGGTACATGTTTTAATTTTCAAATATTTGAGGATTTTATTTTTATTTTCTTTTAATTCTGGTGGCGTTAGAACATCAATTTTGTATCATCCCAGTCCTTTGAAATTTGTTGAGACTTGTTTATGTCCCAACATGTCCTATTTTAATAGATATCTGTGTATACTCAGGTAGATGTATTTTAGGTTGTAGGATACAAAAAAAAAAAAATCTGATGAGTTCTATACTGTTTAACAGTTTGAATAATCATGTATCTACAAAATTAGTATTCTAAAAATATTGTTTAAAATTTTAATGTAACTATTGTTTTCTTTTGTCCTGTCAATTACTAAGAGAAATAGGTTCAAGATTTTGGTTGAAAATATGTTCCCAATTGGTTCCATAAATCTTTTCTTTGTATATTTTAAGATTCTATCATTAGGTACATTAAATTTTATGATTACTTTTATTGGATTTATACCTTTATCTTTATTTTATATCCCACTTCAAATCTAGTAAAGAGCTTCAACTTTGACACTATTGTAGTTTTACAACCTTTTTAAAAAGCTTTTTTGTACTTTAATTTTCTAAGGATTTATTTTTAATTGTGTGTGAAAGAGGTGTTATGTGCATATGAGTGCAGGTGCCCAAGGAGGCCAGAGGTCGGTCCCTGGAGCCGCCATCACAGGCGGCTGTGAGCTGTCTCTGTGGTGGCTGGAGTCAAACTATAAGCGCAGTCAAGTGCTATTACTTGTTACGCCATCTCTCCACACCTGTGTTCTATATTTTCCCCATTTTAATTAGGTTTTCATTGTATTTTCATACCAGTTACATTCTTGTAAGCTGCATTTTTAAGGCATCCAATTCTACAAAGATTGTCTTTGACTCAGAATGGTTGATTTACATTTTAAAAATATTGGTGCATATGATTTACCATTTTGCTGCTTGTTTCTACTTGACTCAGCTGTGGTTTTTGTGGTAGATTTTGTTTTTTTCCTCTTTCTGTTCTCTTTTATTTTTTATTTTTGGAGGAACTGAGTGATTTCTGGTATTTTGTTTTCTATTTGCTTATTAAACATTCTTTTACTATTTTTTTTTTTTTTAGTGAAAAGCAATTTTAAAGAGAAGTATCTTTTACTATACTTTTGGTGGGTTACTTGATAATATACACATGTTCCTTATGAGATTTTAAAAGTAAATCTTAAAAATTAAAAATTTCAAATTAAACTTTCTCATGGAGTACAAAAGACTTTACTAGTATTTAACTCTCTTCAGTGTTTGGTGCCGTTCCATGTATTTTAACTTTTACATTTTAAAGCCTGTAAAATGTTATCTTAAAAATCAGTAGTCATTTGGGTTACCTGTAAGTGCATGTTTCCTGGTGATCGCTGTGCTTCTGTCTGGGACCATTTCTGTCAGCTAAACAGTATTTCTCAGAGCAGGTATTAGGCCACCAGAGTCTCTTAATTCCTTTCCGGTTTTGTTCAGCTGTAAACATCTTTCCTGCTTTGACTTTCAAGGGTATGTTTCTGGGTCTACAACTTCAGTTTAGATGTACTCTTGTTTCTTTTTGGTTCTCATTATTTTTCTTGGCCTAGTGTTATTATCTCTTTAGAAGGATACAAACCTTTTTTCTGTTACTTTTAGGATTTTACATTATTCTTGCTTTCCAGTAGGTTGTTAATATATTAGGTGTATCCTTTTGTACAACAGAATTCTTTGATTTACCTCTGTTAATTTTAGTGAATGATTTTGCCTTCTTTAAACTGTTACATGTTTTGTGTGACCTGAAAACTTTCTTTTTTGTTGCTTGCCTTTTTTTTTTTTTTTTTTTTTTTTAAGACAGTGTTTCTCTCTAGTCCTGGCTGTCCTGGCACTCACTTTTAGACCAGGCTGGCCTTAAACTCAGGAGGCCTGTGCCTCCTGAGTGCTGGGAGCTGCCACCGCCACCACTCAGTGAAGGCTTTCTTTTTTCAAATAAGGAAATTTCTCTTGCTATAGGCTTGAATTATGCATTTTTAATCTTGAAAAGTGTGTGGGTGGTTCGATTCAATGCACAAATATGTAGAGACCAGAGGTCAGCCTTGGGTGTTGTTTCTTCGGAACTGTCCACAGTGGTTTTCTTTTGGGGACACTCTCTCTCTTGGACTGTGCCTGGCTTTGCCTCCCTAGTGCTGGGATTACAAGTATATACCACATGCCTGGCTTTTTACATGGGTGCTGGGGATTCAACTTTGCAGACTGAGGTAACTCCTTAGCCCTTATCCTTAAAAATTTAAGCCATCTAGAGGAAGATAAGTTTTCATTTTCATCTCTTGTTTAATCATATATAGGTTCAGTTCTGTTTCTTATGTCCTCTCTTCCTTCCCCTCCTCCCTCCATATCCTTTTCTTGCTTGTTTGCTTTATACTCTTATTCACAGATTACAAGTACTAAAGCTTGCATCATGTATGTCGAGCCAATATATTGTGCTATTTTGTATGTGATTTTTAAATTTATTTAAGTCAGGGCCTCAAGTAGCTGCTGTGACTGGGAAATTGCTATGTAGAGTATGTTGACTGTGAACTTATTTAACTGCCTCTGCATCCCCAAATTCTGGGATTATAGGCATGTGCCACCACACCTGGCTGTCATACTGAAAAAATTTTAAATTCTGTGTTTAAAATCAGTAGGCATCGGCGTTGGTGGCACATGCCTTTAATCCAAGCACTCAGGATGCAGAAACAGGTTGATCTCTGTGAGTTTGAGGCCAGCCTGGTCTACAGAGTTCCAGGGCAGCCAGAGCTACAAAGAAAAACCCTGTCTTGAAAAAACAAACAGCTTCCTAATCCAAATTTCTAGTATTTTGAAGTCTCTTATTCTTCTGCCTCTACTTTACAAGATATCTTTGTGGCCTCTTTGTGAGGAAGCAGCACTAATTCTGTAAGTTTAAAGTATTCGGCCTTTTTCCAATAAGAAACAGTGAATTGGAAAATTGTACTGTATGTGGTTTTCTCTTTCCATAGCTTTCACAACCATATCTCTCACCTTCTGCTAACTTCTAAACCCCAGAAATAAAGTATTGTTCCCTGTCTGTACTGAAATGTCCCTTTGTTCAGATTATAGCCTCAGACAAGTATTAAGTGAGAGATGGAAGGTCACAAGACCTGTCTGTCCTTGGAAGCGATTTACCACCAGAGAGCATAATTCTTTTGTTGAATAGAAGTCTGAGGTATTCAAGAGAGTGGACAGAAAATCCTCTATTACAGTTCCATCTAATCCTTCACTTATTTTAATACATTCTTCCAGGTTAGCCTCAGAAGGATTGATCAAAACTTCAAATGTATACTAAAATCTTATGTGCTGTTTATTTTCTATTTCTCCAGGTCCTGCTCAATCTGGAATTTTGTCAGATCGTGAAGTGGTAAACCTCTTTCTTCATTTTACCGTCAATCCTAAACCCCGAGTAGAATACATTGATCGACCACGATGTTGCCTCAGAGGAAAGGAATGCTGCATCAATAGATTCCAGCAAGTAGAGAGCCGCTGGGGTTATAGTGGAACGAGTGATCGAATCAGGTATCTGTCCGAGTGTGGGCTTAGTGCCTGGGTGAGGGTAGTCAGAGGTTCAGTCAATATTTGATAGCTTGCTTAATACAGGATGGGGCCAAAACCTTACACACAAAAAAATAGTAATTAACTGCTTATAGCAAATAAGAGTAGGAACAAATGATTTAAGTATTTGATCCAAGTAAGTAGAAAATGAATATAGAAAGAGACCTAGAAAAATTAAATAGGCAAATGAAGAAAGTAGTGAGTTAAAAGTAGGAAAATTGATCACTCATAATCTGTTTTCTTTAAAAGATCAACAAAACAAACCATCCTAGAAAAAGCAGTTCTTTAAATTAAAGTTTAGAAATAAAAATGTGACTACTAAAATTTTTACTTTAATTCTGGGCTTACTCTGTGCTAATAAATTGAACATCTTGATGGAATGGATCATTTTATAGGCAAATATAAATTACCAAAATTGACCGAAGAAGAAAGCCTGAGTAGACCAATTACCCTGGGAGGAATTAAAAGTTATCAGAGAACTGTTCATTCACAAAGTTTTTACAGGTGAGTTTTTTATCAAACATTCAGGAACAGATTTTCCTTGAGGAAAATATCATGTGGTTGATTACTTAAGGAAGAAAAAAATCAGGTAAGAGTTGAACAAGACACATATTGTAGGTCAGCATCACCATAGAGGAGATTCTGCATACGTACTCTTCCTTGAGAGGACAGTGCTGGGAAAAGAAATGAAGTCATAACACAGTTCATTGCGGTAGGAGACCACAGAACACAGTGGTTCCAACAGACAGTGAGGCTATTGGGGTGTGTAGGGGTGCTTTTGATCAAATGTTACTTTTGTACCTGGTGATAACTAGTAATAGGTTAAGTCTAGAAAACATTTGTCTAACAATGATAGGCTACTGAAGAGAAATTAGAAATTAAAAATCTAGCTAGAGATACCTACCAGCTTTGCTGAGTTTCAGTTATGATTGATGCAGTTATAAATTAGAGCCCATTATAGTCAGAAAGGAAGAGGCCTTCCAGTTAATTCTGGATGTACATTAGTATATAGCTCTAGGAAACACAGTTTTTTTGTGTAAATATTTTCTACTTCTTCCTTTAATAACTTGAAATTTATATTGTCATAATTTAGGGGATAAATGGCCTATCTGTAATACAAATACAATTTACCTGTAATGCAAATAAATTCAGCTGATAATAAAAATTTAAGGAGAAATAATGAATCTGATAGTATTCAGTATTTAGACTTTAGGTAGGACACTAGCAGGCAAACTGAAGTGTATATCTCCCTATATATACATACTCATGTGCCAGCTACTAAGTATGCACATGTTAATACTTTATATTCCAACATTTGAGAAAATTGAATCAGTTCTATTTCTATGGAAATGTATTCACATTTCCATAGATGAATTTATCTACTGGTTGAAAGTTATATGGAACTCTAAAGTCATTACTCACCTTTTTAGTTCTTTTCTACCAGGAACTTTTTAGTTGCATGTTTCTAATAAACTAAAGCTCTGCCTTCCTGTTTGAGCTTTCCCACAGAGGTAAAAAAGGTAAGGGCAATGCAGGCAGTACAAGAAACTCTGCTCTGGGCTGATCTAAAGGATTGGGTCCAGGTGAAGCAGCTATTAGTAGGGCAGCCAGCTCCAAGTGCTCTTTTTGTAAAATGAAGAAAACAGTGTAGGATGAGTTGTTTGTAGGATTTACATCTAAGGTAGGTGTGAGTCTTCACATATAACGAACCCGTGTGAGTATAAATTTGCATGTGTGAATATATACATAATTACCAATGACAACAATAATGGTAAAGAGTTTCTTATTATATGGTACTTGCCTTTTTTTTTTTTTTTTTTTGGCACTTGCCTTTTATGGAAGTCAGTAAAGTTGCACTAAAATATCTTCAGTTTATAAATATGATTACAGCTTACAGTCACAACAAAAAATTTCCCATCCTGTTTGGGGTTCTTGGTTCTAGAAATCTGTTCTGTACATCACAGGAATTGTATCACTGGTTCTTTGTGCCTCTAAACCTTGGGGTGAAGAGAACCTTACCCAAAACCTATTGGAACTAATAAAAGAATAGTTGCTGCTTAAAAATGTAAATTTGAGATTCTTTTCCTCAAAACTTTGTTTAAAAGATTAGCGTGACAGAAATGAGCCGTGGTGACGGCTGTACAGCGCTGTAAACGTACTTAATGCCACTTAACCTGCGCACTTACTGCCTAATGTGGTCGTTTATGAGTGTACTGCCGCAGCAAGAAAACCCAAGACTCGAAAGAGTAAACGACATTGAAGTGCATACTTCACTATATTGCAGTAAATTACATATCGTGTTGGACATTACTGTGATAGAGTAGGACTAAACTCTGACGTGTATAGCAAATAGTACTATGTAGATCTGGAGAACGATGGCTGGAACCACACTTGGATAGGGATAAGTTAACTTGAATATCTTAGAAAATTCCTTTCATAAGTCCCATGTTTTGGGTAGAGGAGTGGCCTAACAAAATATAATGTTAATTTGTGAGAATAAAGTCTCTTCTAAAAAGAGAGGAACAGCTCAAATGTGAAAAAGAATGATGGGTCTATAAAAGGTGTTATTTGAAATACACTGTAAAGGTCAGAAACCATATGAGGCCAGGTGAACATTTAGAATGAGATAAAAGAGAGGGGTGGATTAGCCACCCAGAAATTACAGCAAGTCAGTAGTTATTTTTACTCTTTTTTTTTTTTTAACTTATTTACCTTTATTTTATGTGCACTGGCATTTTGCCTGCATTTATGTCTATGTGAGAGTATCAGATATTGGAGTTACACAGTTGTGAGCTGCCATGTGGGTGCTGGAACTTGAACCCAGGTCCTCTGGAAGAGCAGTCAGTGTCCTTAACCATTGAGCCATCTCTCCAGCCCTCATTTTTACTGTTTTACATGATCAAGAATTTAAAATACATACTCTGATAATGATTTTTAATATACTTCATAGAAAGGGGTTGATAGGATTCATCTCCAGATTTATAAGGTGCTTTAAATGCTCTCTTACTTATCAGCTGTATCTTCTGGATTGTTTGTATTTTGTGCTGAGGGTTGGCTACTACAGAACCTACATACATTCTCTACCACCCAGCCTCACACTTGGGCAGTATTCTGATTTAATTTTAAAAAGAATAAAATACAGACTTCATGATAAAAATTACTGAAAAATTTTAGAGTGGTTCTATTACTGTACTGGGTATGTGGCATAGCATGGAGCTAGGAACATGTGCTACTGAGCTGCATCTCCAGCCTGAGCAGGTTATACGTCTTTTTTCCTTGAAAGGACAACCCTGAATGTTTATCATTCCTGGTGTGAAATGGAGCTGAGGGCCTGGTACGTAAGAAAGTATTTACTAAGGTGTGGTGGTGTGCCAGGAGTAGTAATAACCAAAGTTTTAGCTGAAATTGTTTTCCATTACAGATGAGCTATAATTATACAGTCTTTTCAGTTGCCTTTGTGTTTAATGTCATTTTTTTACACATATATAAAATGAAGTAAGATAGATCAATATTTCTTGACTCTTGCGACCAAACTAGACTTGCTAATTATTTCATGGAACCTTTATTCAAATCCACCTTTGGGAGTTAGTTCCTGTCTCTAACTATGTACCACCAATTTTAATTTAATGCATTCACAACTCTTATCACAACTTATAATTTTTATTTATTCCTTCCCTTTTTTGTTTATCACTATCTTCCATTTGGCAAAGATAGAAACTGTGCCTTGTTCACCAATGTTTCCTGGTCAGCCATACACAGTGACTAAATACAATAGGTCCTCAGTAAGTATTTACTGAACTGGTGGATTGTCCAAGTTTGGGACTTTAATCTTAATGACTAGCATATTCATGATAGAGATTTGGATGAATAAATTAATCAACCATTATAATAAACGTAGGTATTCAGGTCACAATCTTTTGACTATACAGAACAAATCCTACTTGTGTTTTGTTCACATTAGGTTTTGTGGGCAAAGAAGTTGACATTTACAAAAGTGTCTTTTATGATGGTTTTCTTTTTTCTAAGTAAAATTCAGGTAACACTTTAAAAGCTACAGACTTCATAATATGAACACTTAGAGAATTGTTTATGTTATTTTGTAATGGGTTTCTTTCTCACAGGTTCACAGTTAACAGAAGAATCTCTGTGGTTGGATTTGGTTTGTACGGATCTATTCATGGGCCCACGGATTATCAAGTGAATATACAGGTACTCTCCTTCTCTGCTAGCATCCTGAGATATAACAGCAACTTTTCAATAAACACTGTCCTGACAAAAACCCAAGTTTTATTGTCAAAGGAATCAGGAAGCATCAGTAGTGTTTTAAGCCATTTCTGCTTTGTGGTTGTTATAAAGTAAAAAAAAAAAAAAATCCAGTTTCAGGAAATTTGGGTCCTTTACAAAAGTATTAGCATACCTGAAATCTTTTGTTCAGGAAACCCTTATAGTAAATTCCTGTTTTATTGACTTAGATGCCTTTCATGTTACTTGAACCTTTAGCACCTTGAAACTCTCTCATCACTTGACACTGCCTCAATCACGCTCTTCATTTAGGAGTGTCTGAATAATGCTGTTTCATGTTTTGGTTTGTTTGCCTTTTGTGTTTATTTTGCATCCAAGGATGGTCTGAACTTGCCATCCCCCAACCTCTATCTTTCTAGTGCTGAGACTGCAGCTTTGTGGCACCATGCCTAGTCTGCCTTGTTCCTTAGGGTTGCTCCCTGCAGTTCTTTCCAGTAGGACACTAATGTCCAATCTGAAAGGACGTTGAATACCTCTTCTTCTGTTCTGTCCTTGCTAACAAACTGCTGCTCTCCCTTTGACTACATACCCTGTCAAGGAAAATTATTTTTTAATATGTTTTATATATAAAGTACAAAAATAAAAGGAAGTAAAACGTTTTTCAAGGTTTTTGTCAACAAAACAAAAACATGCCTCCTAAATGTTACTACTATGTTCTAATAGCAAAACCTGTAATCAAATGCATGCTTTTAAAATGTTGCTACTTTGTATTCTTTGTGACTACAGCAATTCAAAGATCTAGTTCTGTGACAGCCAGACAAAAAGGAGAAACTTGTTTTCTTGCAATTTCCATGTATGGGATTAAGTTTGCTAATGTATGCAGAGGCATATGTTCATATACATGCATGAGTGTGGACGCCAGAGGAAATCTTTGGTGTCATTCCTTAGGGCCATCCAACTTTATTTGGAGACAGTCCCACTGTCCTGGAACTCACTCTAGTGCAGGCTGGCCTTGAAGTCACAGTGCTAGGGTGCTGAGGATCATACCCAGAACTTCATGCTTGTACCACAGATACTTTACTCACTAAACCATTTCCCCAGCACCTGTTAAGTTTTACTAGAGCCGTCTAGAAGGCTTTTTCTTTTCTTTTTTTTAAGTATTTATTTTATGTTGTGTGTGTATAAGTGTATATATTTGCACCGTGTGCATGCAGGAACGTGAAGAGCTCAGGGGAGGCCTTGGATCTCCTAGCAGTGGAGTTAGTAGAAACAGTTATGAGCCACTATGTGGGTGCTGAAAACTGAACCCAGCCCTCTTCAAGGATACTAAGTTTTCTTAATGTTTTAAAGTTTTCTGCTGAACCATCTCTCCAGTCTTGAGGGGTTTTTCTTAGTGCCTTTGTTGGGTCCTCATCCCAGAGACTTATGACATAGAAAGGGAAGTCTAAGGTAACAGACAAGACATCCAGAAATGGAATTTTGTATGTGAAAGTTCATCTTTATGTGGTTGCTATTTTGAGATCCACTTATCTTTGACCTAACATGAGAGGCATGTACATCTCAAGACATTGCTTTGACTCAGTTTTATTAATAGATGAATGTACCAGGGACTTGTATGATAGAAGAAGAGCATGGAGCTTGGAACATTTTTGAAAGTTGATCCGTATCTCCACTACCACTAGCTACATGGACTATTAAGGGAAGATAGTAGTGACTCCTATTAAGGGAAGATAGTGACTTTATGTAGACTATTAATGGAAGATAGTGACTCTCGGGACTGTAGCAGTTACATCACACACACACACACACACACATCTCAACACTCCAAAATCTGAGGTGGGAAGTGTGTAAGTTGATGGTAATTGACACAAGAAGGTGTTGAAAATAAATTCAAATGCTAATAATGACCCCTTGCTTTGGTGTAATGGTATTTTCTAGAGATTTTAATTCTGTAGGTAAGACTTTTCTTTTTATTGAGCTGGTAATAGATACTTGAAAGGTATATTCACTGAGTGTAGTGGTGGATGCCTTTATTCCCAGCCCTTGAGAGTTTCAGGATAGACAGAGCTACATAGTGAGACCTTGTCTTTAAAAGGAGGGAGGGGTATGATAATAAGTGTTACATATGGCTTGGCTTTCATGGACTGTACACACCTGTGTAACTAGTGCCTGGTCAAGAAACAGGACAAAACAACATTTAGAACTTTTAGCAATCCTTCCATGCTCCCCTGAAGAGTAATCACTGTTCTGACCTTAGCTTTAGGTAGCTGTTGCCCATTTCATTATTATTTCCTAGAGTATTTGCAGAAAGACTGGCTTGGGAGGGTCGGGTGGCCGCTCTGCATTCTGTTCCCATGTATGGAAGCCCTTCTAGTGATGTGGTAGTCTCTGCCTTGAGCTTTTCAAGCAGTCCTCCTTGAAGCTTAAGCCCTCTTCAACAGGAGGAGTTTCCTTTGTCTTCCTCATCATCTGAACTGGCACTGCCTGTGTGTTTCCTCTGTTGACTGGACCCTCCTGAAGGGTATCCCTTAATGCCCTGTTTATCACTTGGCACAGAATTAATGGAAATTATTCATAGACATAACAGTGCAGTTAATGGTATTTCAATTTTAGTAAATATTAAAACTGAAAATGTTGAGAGGTTATCCTAGGAATAAGACATGGGCTAAACAAGGAGGAAAGATTCTTTTCCCCCCAGTATCTCAAGTCCACATTCTAAAGTTTACACACCAAGTGTACATTTTTTATGGAATCCTCCTTCTGCAGCAAAGCCCTTGTTGCTTGATGCCTTCCCCTTTCTTATTATGATACATGAGTTAAAGAGCCACTTTCTGATCATTGCATGCTACATAACTAGAGATATGTAGAGAAAAATTAAAACATGAAAGTTTAATCTGTGTTGCAATTTCTAATTCATACTCTTTCTCATAAGACGGTCCAATTTTACTTAAATATAACTTCTCTTTTAAAAATCACAGATCATTGAATATGAGAAAAAACAAACCCTGGGACAAAATGATACTGGATTTAGTTGTGATGGAACTGCTAACACATTCAGGGTCATGTTCAAAGAACCTATAGAGATCCTGCCCAATGTGTGCTACACAGCATGCGCGACACTCAAGGTAAGAGCTGCTCAGCTCCACAGCTGTGCCCACACTGCACTACGGAGGCTCTTGGTCTCCATGTTTTGCAGAGTCACTGGCATGGGAGCCTCGTAGAAAGGGCCAGAGGAAACTGGAGCTAAGTCTCTCCACTGCATTAAGTGCTACCTGGCACTACTCTGTTCTGAGAGAAAAGTCCTTCCCAAGAACTGCCCCTAACAGAACTTTTCACAGAAGATAATGTAATTGTTTTCTTAAACTCTTTCCAGAGTTGGTAATGGCTGAACTCTATATTGTCTTTAAAGTTGTTTCAAAATAAAAACTGCATATTTCATTGACTTCATGAAATTTTATACTGAGTCTGTAAGGAATAGTGTAGAGCAGTAGTCAAATAGAAAAATAGTCAAGTAGAAAATACATTGAGTGCGTCTTAGGTGACACAATCACTGAACCGTTTCTTCTCATTTAGGGTCCAGATTCTCACTATGGCACAAAAGGACTGAAGAAAGTGGTACATGAGACTCCTGCTGCAAGCAAGACTGTTTTTTTATTTTTCAGTTCCCCTGGCAATAATAATGGCACTTCAATAGAAGATGGACAAATACCAGAAATAATATTTTATACATAATCTAGTGTTAACAGCCATTCAGTCTAATCTCAAAAGCATAAACAACTGGCCACAAATAGTTTGAGTGTCATGAGTATTTATAATTGCAGAATAAGAAACATTTTAGTTTCTTAGGAGAAGTAAAGATAATTTAAATCTCTGCATGATTTAAAGGCAGACTTTCCATTTTCTTGCAACCCTCAAAGCAAAGAGAAGCAGGTTTGCGTGAAAATTGCAGTCTTTCCTGCTTCATCTTGTGTGACTTCATAGGTCAGCTGACCATCCTCTTTCGCTAGTTTGGGAATTGAAAGATTCTTTTCACAAAGAGCATATGTGGGTGTTTGGGTTTTTTTTTTTTTAATTTTTTAAATATTTTGGAAGTTAGATGAGATGGGTCAGTATTCCTACAGAATTCTTTTTAACTCCAATAACTACTTTCAGAAAATTACGAAAACTGACTTTATATTATATTTGGGGTTTTGAAATACCTGGTTGTTAGCATTTGGAATAATGCTAAAAGTAAGTCTAAAAAACATTCAAGGATTTCAGTGCATTTACAGAAAAGGTATTTTGTAATAGTATAGTAGTGTGTTACATAGTACTCTTTTAAAGCTGTAAGTGGACTTTGTATAAATTCACAATAATGTGATATAAACAAATCTAAAGGGGTGACCTAAGATGGATTCTTTATCCCTCCCATCCTGCTATGCCTGTCATGGGTGCTGCCAGTAATCCCAGATGGTTGAGATGTGACAGATGCCAACAGCTGCCACTTCAGCACTGTAATAACCTTACACAGCAAGGAGGGGATGAGAAGCCTAGATTCCTAACAACTGCTTGACATCATAAAGTCACTCCTGCTGAAAAGAAGGAAGCTTTTTGTCACCTCTAAGTTCTAGCCAAGAAGTAAAAATGCTTGATATTCGTGACCTCGTTGATGTGACCAGCATATCTATAGTAAGAATGGATCAAAAGGATACCTGGCAGTGTGACATTTCTACATTTTTATATAAAGCAGATTTTTTTAAAACACAAGTGAGATGACATTTTCCCTCTGAAAATGATTATCTTACAAAAAATAAACCTTTATAATTAAGTTTAAGGTGTATCAGTCATCAGTTGTGGAAAATTATTAAAAATAATTCTGAAGTATCAACTTAAGAATTTTTTCTAAATAGGATATAAAAGTTTTCATCAAAAGTGATATTTTGTATTTTCAAGAGGGCAGGGAGGTGATGTGTTAGTGGCCAGGGTCTCTTGAAGTTGTTCAAGAAAGGGAAGTGTTTTCTGTCTGCTCTGGTACCATGATCCTAAGGGCATAAGCCTCAGTGAGCTGGAATACCCATGGAATGTGTGGTTCTGCTTAACTGAACATTAGCAAAGACTCTAGTGACCATTGGGGAGGTACTTCTTCCTTACCAAGTATTGCATGCCAGAGGTAAGTTAGTGCTCTTTGACATTTGGGACATTCACATACCTTGTGTTTTACTAAGCAGCTGTAACTGAATGTAGTTAATGGAAGGTACAAGAAATAGAACCACTCACTGACATTGGGACATCACCAGGAATTTTAAAAATAAATTTATCCTTTTTGTTTACCTATTTTTTGTCACTTGTCTTTTTCTCTAAAAATTGAATGAGATACTACTTTGGAACAAAGGTTTTAGTTAATTAAAGTTTAGCTTTTATGCACTTCTAATTTTAATTAACTAATACTTACAGAGTTGGGCAGGGGATAACTCAGAAGTACAGCAGTTGCCCAGCGTGGTGTTTTGAATGAAAATGGCCCCATCGGCTCATAAGGAGTGGCACTACTAGAAGTTGTGGCCTTTGTCTGCATGCCAGCCATCATGCTTCCCACCGTGACAGTAGTGACACCTTGAACAGTAAGCAAACACCGCTTATAAGAGGTGCTGTGGTCATGATGTCTCTTCACAGCAACAGACGAGTGACTAAGAAACCTTGCTCAAATTCCATCCCTACTACCAAATGCCAGTCCTCGCAGCCTGAGTGATTATTACGTACTGGCCTTTGCACTAGATGTTTTGCATACATTCTTGCTTATCACTATATCAATGTGTGTTGGTATAACAGTGCCCAGACAAAGGACTTAATATTTAGGAAGGTTACTATGTGGTTTTGGGTACATTTTAAAGTCATTTTTATACCCTGAGCTATTGAGCAAAAACAAAACTACTTTGTTAGGTTGCCAAAAGAGCCAGGCAGTGGTGCTGCACACCTTTAGTCCCAGCTCTGCGGAAACAGAGACAGATGGATCTCTTTGAGTACAAGGACAGCCAGAGCTACACAGAGAAACCCTGTCTCAAAAAAAAAAAAAAATAATAATAATTTTGACTAACATGTACCTACTGTAAAATATCAATACATTTAAAAGTATTCCTTTAAAAGCATTGCTATTTTAGTGTCTACCCACAATTTAAGATGTAATATTTTCAGTTTCAAACATTGTATTTTAGGGCCACAAAAGTTTTAGGAAGACATACTTTCAAAGGAAAAAAGTCTGAGATTTAAAAAGTTTATAAAACAGTAGAAGAGTATGGCCATCAAATGTGGTACATGAAATACAAAGTATTCAACACTTTCTGCCCCTCTTACCTTGCTTCTTCTGCCTTCTGTGTCTTATCCTCCCATTCAAAAACGTGAACTGTGTCCAGATTTAACAAAACATGCTTGCCAAGAGGGGGAACCACAGCATTTATTGCTACATGCTTAAAAACAAACTTTTACTCCATTGGCAAAGCTAAGATCAACTCTTACACTGAAGATTTTTAAAACCCAATTTAAAGTGGAAACTAACATTTGTAATGGGCTTTGCCATTTCAATCAGTCCTTGTCCTTTTCCATTGGGGCAGGTGTGATAGACTGAACTGAAGAGGGCTCTTGGTGTTTCTAGCTAGTGATGAAGTCCTTATACTCTGGAGGTACCTGTGAAGAAGACTTGAGTGTTCTTCACTAGACATTTCTTCCCGCTGTCCTCCCATCTAGCCACCTGCCTGCTGGGCACCATCAGTAGTTCTACCCATGTCCCCTCCTTTTTTAAACAACCCAATAGTCAGTGCAGGTGGCGTACACCTTTGATCCACGCATTTGGGAGGCAGAGGCTGGCTGGTCTATAGAACGAGTTCCAGGGCAGCCAGGGCTACACACAGAAACCTTGTCTTTGAAAAAATAAAAATAAAAAAAACAACCCCAATTGTCAAATCTCTAGAGCAGAGTTCTCAACCTCCTAATGCTTTGATACTTTAAGACAATTCCTTATGTTGTGGTGACCCTAACTATAAAGTTATTTTTCTTGCGACTTCATAATTTTGCTACTCTTCTGAATCATAATGTAAATTTTTTAGAGATTTGCCAAGGTCATGGCCTACAAGTTGAGAACCACTGTTTTGGAGAGTATCGGGATTTCAACTCAAAATTCAGCAAACAACTACAATGTAATTGTGGTTTTACTTTGTGCCTCAGTTTGTAATTTATTTCAAAAGAAACAGGTGTGGTGTGGTTTAACAGCTGAATCACTTCTGCCTGAGCCTTAAGGCTGGCTTCAGTGTCTTCAGTGTCCCTAGTCTTTCAGCTGAGGAGGCTTCAGCCACTTTCTTCTCATGACCATATCACATAACTTGTCCTATGGAACTGGTGTCTCTGGGAGAGTAAACTGAAACATCCCTTTTTGACCCCAGCCTTTAATGGCTGTTTTCAGCACTCATGTTCCAGTCCTATCTGTTAAGGGGTCTGAACGCTGCAGCTCCCTGACATTTGTCAAAACTGCTTTGTCATCACTTTCAACTTCCTTCCCTATTCAGTCTTTAACCACTTTAGTGACCCTAAATCCTCTTTATCCACTCGACCAGTTTGGCTGTCTGACTTACTGTCAGCTCCCTACCTGCTGAGGCCAGGCATCCAAAACCTCTAATTCGGGGTGCAGCTCAGTGGCAGAACATGTATTTATCATAAAATACTGATGTGAGTGGAAATTGGGATTTTTATTTCCTCTGGCTCCAACCTGAATCAGATTGTCAATGCCCCTGGGTGAGTTTCAGTAGACAGTTGTGCCATTTTCCAAACTCTTAACTATTCCTTAGTGTTTACCATGAGTATCTCCCCACAGCTGGTTACTGGAATTCCAGTTCCTGCTTCTGAACCTTCGGTGTAGCTCATTTCTATGCTTTCAAGTGCAGTTAGCCGCCTTAAAAAATAAAGCTCCTCCAGATGTCTGTTACTTCACAGCTAACTGAAATATTACCTACACATTTCTGCTGTATCCACTGAAACTGCTCCTATCTGGGTCACCAATACCCCGGGTTTCCTAGACTGGTGATACCAGTCATTCCACTGTTTTTGTGATAATTATCACTCTACCATCCCCTTTGAAATGAGCTCCCTTAGCTTCAGTTACCCTGTACAACCTCTGGCTAGTGTTGTAGCTCGTCTCCTTGACCCTTCTTGCTCTGTGCTGGGCCTATACAACAGCTCTGCACACTTGGAATGTCTCTTACTCCTTTCTTTTTGTTTTTGTTCTGTTAACATCTTGTTCTCTGTCACCGGCACAGGTCTCTGATGCTTCAGTTAGGTATTCAGGCAAAGCATTCAGCTAGCTCCCTAACTATTATTCCACTTGGATGTCTCCAATCATTTCAAACTTAATGTGCTCTTAAAAACAAGGAAGAAGACAGGAGCCTACTACAAAGGGCCTCTGAAAGACTCTACCCAGCAGGGTATTAAAGCAGATGCTGAGACTGAGCCAAACTTTGGGCAGAGTGCAGGGAATCTTAATGAAATAAGGGGGAGATAGAAAAGTCTGGAAGGGTCTGAAGCTCCACAAGGAGAACAACAGAACCAAAAAATCTGGGCATAGGGGTCTTTTCTGAGACTGAAACTCCAAGGACCATTCATGGAAATAACCTAGAACCTATGCACAGAGATAGGTTGGCAGCTCAGTCTCCAAGTGAGTGTCCTAGTAAGGGGAACAGGAGCTGACTCTTACATGAATTCACTGGCTGGCTCTTTGATCACCTCCCCCTGAGGGGGGTGCAGCCTTACCAGACAGTCCTGATGAGACCTGATAGGCTAGGGTCATATGGAAGGGGAGGAGGTCCTCCTAGTCAGTGGACTAGGGAAGGGGCAAGGGAGAAGAAGAGGGAGGGAGGGAGGATGGGATTTGGAGGGGGCGAGAGTGGGGCTACAGCTGGGATACAAAGTGAATAAAATGTAATAAATAAAAAATTATATTAAAAAATCAAAACAAAACAAAAAACTCACTAAACTACCAAACCTTTTCACTAGCCCCAGACTTGGGCATCTTCAGTCGTCAGATGATCATCTCTGACCATTCAGGCCCCAAAGATCCTCAAAATGGTTACAAACCATTCTCCAGTTAGGTGGCAGGTCTTCCTACCTCTGAGCAAATATTATCTACACGTTCTAACGTAAATGGACCAGGCCAGTCCCTGACTGCAGCACTGCACTGATCTGCCTCTGTTCCAGTTTCACAAGCTGTCGTATTCCGCTCCACAGTGGACCTCCTCTCCTTTCGTTCTGCATTGCGCAGACCGCCACGGTGACACGTTGGGCGGGCGAGCACCGAGGCTGGCTGCTCTCGCCACTCACCTAAGGACAGCTTTCCCTCAGCTGACAAACATGACTCACCGAGGGAGTCACGCGCCCCCGCCGGCAGGTGGCAGAGGAGCTAACCCACGCCATCCCGCCGCGAGGTGCCGCTCTCGGCGGAGTGGGGAGGAGCACGCCGCTTCCGCTGAGACAGGCGCAGGCGCACAGGACTTCCGCCGCGCTCCGCCGTGCTTGCTGGTTTGGGATGCTGCAGCTCGCGGTGGGTCGTAGACTCCTGTCTGGTTCCGCGATGCCTAAGAAAGCCGGAGCTACTTGCAAGGCCAGTGGCAGGTCCCGTGGTGTGGAGTGGGTGGGCCACGGGGCTACGCCGGCGGGGAACAGAAGCAGCGCCTGGAGGGCGGCAGACCTCCCTTACGTTTTGTCAACTGAGGTCCAGGTCTGAAACTTTCTGGGCCACACATTAGCTCGCCTGAGAACCACTGAGCCGCCTTCGTGGCGCACCTGCTGGCTTTCGTCTGGCACCAGCACTCTGAGGGTTACCTTTCCCGGCAGGCTGTGCGTTCTGCCTCCCTACGGTGGCAGATCACGTCCCTCTATCCAGGAGACAGTCTTCCCTCCCATAACATCTTCCTTGGCCAACTCCAACTCCGACCCAACTCAGGCACCACCACGTGCTTCCCCAGTTCCCAACCCATGGCTGCCTTTCTCCGTTCCTCTTCATACCCACTGTCTGCATACTGTCCTGGAACTTACTTCCTGTTAAATGAATAAATGTTCTTAGCATGGCATTTAAATGCCATTCGTTATTGTTCTTTCTGGAATCGACTCCTCACCCTCTCAGCCACTCTGAACTTTAGGATGCATTGGCTAAAAAGACGACTAATAAATGACTTTCTCTTGAGGAATAGGAACTATAAAGCAGACTGTAGGAACAAGTCCTAAGGTAGCCAGAATGAGATCTAAACAGGACACACAAATACGTACACAGACACACACTTTACAGCTTTAGGTTACACAGATAAATGTAAGTAACAAATAGTCCCTGCTCGTGGAGAAAGTGAATTATAAATTAGATTGCCTCCCAAGGCAGTACAGACACTGTGGGGTTGCTGGCAAGTTGGTTGGATCCTGGAGGGATGTGGGAAAAGCTCCTCTGTGGCCAGTTCGGATGGTAGGCCAGGTTTAGTTAAGGTGAGGGAAAGTAACGTGTCAAAAATAAATGAAATAATTTGTAACCTGTAAAATTGTGTATGTCATTTTAGGGTAAAAACCAAACCAAGGAACCACCTCCTCCTGCAGGGCCCGTGGCAACTGATCCTAAAGGTTTTGTCACCATAGCCATCCATGCCAAACCCGGCTCCAAACAAAATGCTGTGACAGGTATATCTGAGTGCCAGATGGGATTCATGTGTGGATCAAATGGTCTTTTCATCTTTGCCTTGTTAGCTGATAGTTTATCTTATGACTGTAAATGGTATTTTTTTGTGTCTATTTAGAGGCTTCTCCATTTCAAAATTCTATAGTCTCATATGAAGGTATTTGAAAGAAAAATGTGCAATGTTTAATACAAAATAAGATTGTATCTTCTCCTTTTTGAAAAAAAAAAATGTGGTATTTTAGCTGGGTATAGTAGTATAAACCTTTAATCTTAGCACTTGGAGAGCCAGAGGCAGACAAATCTTTGTGAGTTTGAGGCCAGCCTGGTCTACAGAGTGAGTTCCAAGACTTCACGGAGAAACCCTATCTCGAAAAACAAACAAACAAAAAGAGATAAACTTTGCACACTAATTATCTTTACATTTTAAAAGTACTACATCAAAACAAAAGTGCTAGGTCGGCTGGGTAGTGCTCATGGCCATCTTGCCCATTCTTAGGCCAGATAAGAATTGCTATGTGGCCCATGCTGGGTGAAAACTTACCTTCTGCCTCAGCCTCTCAAATACTAGGATTGTAGGATTGTGCCCCATGCCTAACCTTTGGCCAGTATTTCCTAAGCCAAAGCTACGATGGAATCAACTCTTCTTTCCATTATAAGACACGGCTTGATTTCAAAGATGCTAAAATGAAAACGGCATCTGAGAGGCAGAGGAAGAGCCATTTTGCTGTCTCGGTTTTGTTACACGGGGCACAAGTAATATGGACATGGCTATGTGACCCCAGATGCAGGATCAGCTCGAGCTCATTTGCAAACTGCTTTGAGTAAACTAAATTCTTTGCTCTCCTCATAGCTGTGAACTACTGATGGCACGTTACTCGATTCCAGTTGTCACAGCAGTGAAACCGTTACCATGAAGCCCTTTAGGAAGGCTTGCATGCTCTTGAAAGTGGTGCTTGTTTATATATAAATTACAAACCCATTGAACAGTGGAAGGCATTCAAGATACATATCACAAAAGAGAGGAACCTTCGCTTTTCCTGATATGAAACCCTGAAGGTGCAACCCAGTGTGTATTTCCTGCTACATCGGTGGAACTGAGGCCCACCTCCCCGACCAACTCCCTTCCTGGAGCTCTTCCTGTTCAGAGGCAATGTCTCACTGCCTAAATCCAAGATGTTCTCTAAGACTCTAGACCTGTTTGTTAGTAGGGTTTTCCCTTTTGTGGTTGTGTGTTCTATTTATCTATGTTCCCTGAATTATTAGTCATTCAATTCAGTCCTTGTTGGTGTGTAAGAGACTGAACCCAGTTCAGCGGTTATTAATTGAAAGCCTGTCCCGGGTAAGTGTAAACTGTTTGGCAGTTCCTCGCTCCATGGAGAAAAAGAGCCCCTTAAGGATGACGTTCATGCCATCTCATTCTAGATGTGACCACTGAGGCCGTCTGTGTGGCGATTGCAGCACCTCCCTCTGAGGGAGAGGCAAATGCAGAGCTCTGTCGGTACCTTTCCAAGGTCTTAGAACTCAGGAAGAGTGATGTGGTTCTGGATAAGGTAGGTCTCTCCTTTTTAAATTATTATATATTGATCGTAGTTCATATCTCCTACAAATGATTTCTCTCTCTCTTGGTTTTTCAAGAGAGGGTTTCTCTGTGTACACCGGGCTGGCCTTGAACTTGCAGAGATCTGTCTGCCTCTGCCTCCATGAATGCTGGGATTACAGATGTGCACCACTGAATGCTGCTCAGAGAATTTTTAAAAACAGGCCCTTGGGCATCTCTGTAGACAGGCTGAAATAGAATCTGTATGCAAGAGAGCAGGCCATGTTCTTAAAGCTCTGTGTGTGTTCTGGTGCTGTACCCTACAGGTCAAACCTGGGTATCATTTAATAAATTATACCTAAAAATTCATCTGACCAGGCCACATTCTTTACCTCCCCCTACCTGTGGCAGATCGTGTCTGACCCCGGCAACTCTTCTGGTAGAGGAAAGGCACGCCCCACTCTTCCTTGTGAGAACGCTTGGTTCATCCAGATAAATTCCTGGTAAAATTTTATGTTTTATAAAAGACACTTGTTGTGTCTTTTTAAAATTTATTTTCCTGGGGTTTCTTATGCTTCTACCTCCCTTCCAACCTTTATCCGTCCTAATACTTTCCAACACCAGGAGGGAGAGACAGAAGATTAGTGGGAGAGGGGGCGGAGTTCTCTTTAGACTTAGTTCCTGCTGATTAGGGTCACAGGGTTGACCCTAATTGGGAAAATACCAATATCAGTCATCAGGATATCCAGCAAACGCAGCAAACACAGAACCAACATCCTTCTTCTTTCTCTGTCCATCTCCTGAAAGCTTCCTCCTCCTCAGCTCTCTCTGTGCTCTGGTATTTATACCCTCTCAGAGTTAAACTATCTCCAGCTGGCAAAGACCACATCACTCTCTGAGCCACAGGAGGCTTTTATTAACTGCAGATAAACTAAAAACAGCTCCATATGCCACATGTGGGATTAAAACAAAAACCTGTTTACATAACATAACTGAATTCTTAAACCAAAATTTCCACTACAGACGTGTTTCAAATAAATCCTTTTATGAGTTGTTTTAAGTGGTTGTGAAATCATAGTACTTAGGCATGTGGTTGGTTTGGTTTCTGTTTGAAATTTTTATAAATGTGTAATGATTTAGAAAAGAGCAATTTGTTTATGTTTAGGTGTTATAAAAAGTTTATACTAAATTTCCTTATTTAATATTTTAATATTATTTTTCTTTGTAATTTAAACAAATCACTTGAAACTAGAACATTGGCCAGGCATAGTGGGAAGTACCTGTAATTCCAGCACTTGAGAGGGGCAGAAAGGATCAGAGGTTCAAGTTCATCCTTGGCTATATATTGAATTTGAGCTAATCTAGGCTAAACAAGACCCTGACTTAAAGAGAGACTTAGAAATTAGGATATTGTGAACACTCATCTTGAAATTTGTCCCGTTCCCCCCCCCCCCAAGACAGGGATTCTCTGTAGAGCCTGGGCTCTCGAGGACTCGCTCTGTAGACTAGGCTGGCCATGAACTCACAGAGATCCGCCTGCCTCTGCGTCTGCCTCCCTGAATGCTGGGATTATAGGTGTGTGCCACCGAGCCCGGCAGTCATCTTGAAATTTTAATGCTAAACTTTTGTTATAAAAAGTGAAGTAGAAAGGCAAAAGCCCTGGAGAGTCGCAGGAATTTGTCGTAAGGTAGGAGTGTCAGGGGAGAGTGTGCCTGGGCTGTGGGGAAAGGTCATCCATAACGCCTCGTGGGGACCGGGAAGGTCTGTTGCTCCTGCCAGCATGAGGATGTCGAGTGTGTCTTTTTCTTTCTGGCTCAGGGTGGTAAATCTCGGGAAAAGGTGATGAAGCTCCTGGCCTCTACGACTCCAGAAGAGGTCTTGGAGAAACTGAAAACGGAAGCTGAAAAAAAGTAAAGGCGAGAAGTGACTCATACATCTTCGAGGGCCTTTAATAACAGTAGGCAGGTGGCCACCTAGGACAATCTACGTAAGTGCCCAACGTGGAGAGAGGAATATGTGCATAAAAATCAGACTAAAATAAAAGCAGGACATTTCAGTCTCCACATTAAATGCAGGCTCGAAAATCCCTCACTGTGGGAGCTGGAGAGATGGCTTGGTGCCTGAGAGCACTTGCTGTTTTTAGGGGACCTGGACTCAGCTGCCAGCATTCACAATGGAGGGCTCACATGGATGTTCCAGTTCCAGGGTGTCCTGACATTGTTTCCTGACCTCTGAGGTCACTTGCAGACTTGTGGTTCATGTACGTACATTCTAGGCACACACACACACACACACACACTAAATAAACAAACCTTTAAAATCCCCGAGTGCAAACAGTCTGAGATATATCACACTAATTTCATGGCGTTACAACAAAGCAACTTGGAAGAACAGTCAGGACGACTGACGTCACCCCTGGTTCTCCGTGATGCCGCTTCTGACCTGCAGAGGTTGGGAGACCAGCTGAGGACCACAGCATTCGGGATGACAGCAGAAGCAGCTCCTGGTCTAGTGAAATGCCAGTAGCCTTCTATCCCCACAATGCCATTAGCCTTCTATCCCCACAATGCTTCTGGAGTCCTGGGGGCTTCTAAATCAGTTTACAAGTGAAAACCTTTCATGCTGCTTTACAGTCTAGTTCAAGATTTTATTTTATTTTTTTAAACTCAACCATGGTTTCTTTATATCGTTTAAAAATTATATGGAACATTTTGTGGAAAAGTAAGTAATCATGAAGACTTGTAACAACTTTTAGTCAAATTAGATTTGTTTGTTTGTTTATTGGGGCAAGGAGGCCTGAAACTTACAAATGTAGACCGAGCTAGCCTTGAACTCAGATCTGCCTGCCTTTGCCTCCCAAATTCTGAGATTAAAAGCATGCACCACCACATCCATCTAACAATAAATGACTTTGACAACTTAATGTCAGTAATTTTTTTTGAAACTTTGTAAAAATGCAAATCTTGAAGTTCTTAGGAATCTCCAAAGATCTTAAAAAGAAAAAATAAAGAAGTGGCTGGAAGAATGAGTAGCTGCTAAGACTCTGACTGCTCTTGGAGAAGACTTGAGTTCAGTTTCCAGCAAACCAACGTAGGTAATTTACAACTGCCTGTAACTCCAGTTTCAAGGGACCTAGCTAGCGCCTCTAGTCAGAGGGCTCCCACACTCATGTGTACACACATACGCACACATGCAGAGAGACAGACAGACAGACACATAATTATACATAATACATCTATTACACATAATAGATTTTTAAAAAGAAGAAAATGGCTGGGTTCAGTGGCACATGCCTATGATCCCAGCTCTCAGGGAGGCAGAGGCAAGTGGATCTCTGTGAGTTCAAGGCCAGCCTGGTCTACAGAGGGAGTCCAGGACAGCCAGGGCTACACAAAGCAATCCTGTCTCAAAAGGACAATAATAAAAATGATCTGGATTTTTTTTTTTTTTAAGCTCATCAGAAATCACACGTATGAGCTGGGGCTGTAACTCAGTTGGTAGTGCTTCCTGCTACCATGGAGCCTTGAGTTCGATTCCCAGCATTGCCTAAGCTGAGCGTGCTAATCTGCGCTTGTAATCCCAGCACTCTGGAGCTGAGGGCAGGAGGGTGAGAAGCTCAAGGTGATCCTTCACAGCCTGGGGTACAGATCTAAGTCTGCACAGGTAATGTGTGTGTGTGTATGCGGCTGAGAAGATAATGAACACATTGTATATGTTTGACCTAAGTCATAGTACCTTAGACTGTTGTTCCTTTTGTTTTTTGTGTCTTGCTGTGTAGAGCTTAGTGTGCAGCCTCACAGCTGCCGCTGCCCTGGCCTACCAAGATCTGGGTTCCAGACAGACATTCACAGTGCACCCAGCCAAGTGACAGTGATTTAGTAAATAACACAACTACCCAGCTGATCTGTAATGTGTCTCACTTGTCAGTCAGTACATGAGAAAAATGTGCCACATGACAAAATCATTAAAAACACAAAATCCACAAGAAATACCAATTAATGTCAAAGAACTAGAAATCCCTCCTCAGGAACCAAAGGCAAGAGAAGCTGGGAGCCTTATCCAAAGCGCAGTGCTCCCTAGAGGCAGCGCTGGCTTAAGTCCACTTGACCTGTCTGGTCGGGCACTCTTCCACTATGATGCCTCTGGGTACTTGTGTGTGGTTTGGCTAGAGAACTTCCCCATTCCTTCCCACTGCTCCACTGGGTGCCATAAAACATTTCACCTGAGGTCTTGTATGGCTCATGACAGGATGCTTTCTCATGGATCAGAGGCACATTGCATCCACATGTCAGAGAATATGTTAACATGCTGACAAAATCCAGAGGTGTCCGTAAGGGGTTGATGAGCAGCTCGGCGATGTCACAAAGGATCCACTTTCCTTTCTTCCTGTGGTAATGCCAGCTCCATCCTCAGGCCTACTACACGGAGGCGGAAGACCCTGGCTCCAGGTTTCACATCTGTGCGTTAACCCTCTGTTGCAGAGAAGGTGGCTCAGAAGAGCTCCAGTGTTTGTTTTCCAGATGCTCAGGCCCCTTCTACCTCAGGCCAAATCAGATCACATCAAGTTTCTAAACCACCCTCTCGGCAAGAAATGCCAACCCATAAAAAAGCAGCCTGAACCAACGATTATGGAAGAGATTAATCCTACTTGTTTAGGCCAAAAGGCCCATCCCAGAGCTGGAGTGAGGACGGCATATTCTGAAGCAAACCAGTAGACAGAAATGGATTCCTGAATCAGATATTACCAAGAATGGAGGCTGGGTAGGAACCAGCAGTTTTCACTGCAATAATTGGTTGGTTGGTTTTTTTTCTGAGATGGGCCCTCACTGTGTTGCCTAGCCCAGTCTCAAACTGCCAGCCTCAAGTTACCTCAACCCCCTGAGTGCTAGGACTATGGATGTCTACCACCCATCAGCTCTGTTTGACTTTAAGTGGCCATATTTTAACAAAGAGCCTTTGCCTAATATTTTTAATAAAGAAGATACATCACAGTAAGCATTTAGGTGGCACAGACCTATAATTCCGCTGCAGGGAGGCTGAGGCAGGAGAATCGTTAAGTTCAAGGCTGACCTGGGCTGTATGCTAAATCCCAGTCAGGCCTGGATTAAACAGTGAGAGCCATCTCCAAATAAATGAGTAAACAAAACAAGACATATCATAGTGGCACCTAGCTGGAGGGCCTCTCTTTTTCTGTCTTCAGCAATCAGCAGCTTCTTGTCCTCGCGGATGGGAACCTTGACCCGCCACAGAAGGCTGTTTAGTCAGCTCTCTTCAGCTGGGCCCTGATCTCACCTCAAAATACTGAAGTAGAGCCAAGAACAAGGACACAAAATCCAACCCCATCAGCCCTTTCCAGATAATATGATTGTAGCCTGGTCCACCCCCACTAATTCTGAGTAACAGCAACAGTTTACAGAAACCTGTTACCCTGCTTTTCTGGTCCCATGGCATCCTGGAGATCCTGGCTCTGCCATGGCTATAAATGAGGTTTGAGGTAACTGAGGGCTAGTGCTGGAGTGAGGCTGTAGCCTGCCCTGTCTCACTTCCACATAAGAGACAGTCTGTCCTGCACAAACGGTGTGAGGACTTAGTTCTCGCACCACACCTTAGCAGAACTTAGAAAAAATGGGCTCATTCTGCTCAGGAAGCAGGGGCAGATTTTCTGATTTCTGGGGTCCATTCCACTCCCTTCCTTAGCTAAAGGGTGGAGAGAGAAGCAGAAAGCCCAAGGGGAACCTTTTCAGTGTTGAAGGCTCCAAAAAGCTAAAGACCTGAATTTTAGAGGGCAGTTTTCTAGGTTGTGGACTGCAGTGCTCTATCTCAAGTTTTCAAGGATTTGCTTAAATAGTTCCTTAATTGTAAGGCAGACTACAAGTATTTAGAATCTACTGTGACCCCAAATCTAGTTCGTTTTAATATATGTGATTAGAAACTAAAAACTCAGGGTTGGAGAGATGGCTCAGTGGTTAGGAACACTGACTGCTCTTCCATATGCTCCAGGTTCAATTCCTAGCACCCACATGACAACATACAACTTTCTGTAACTCCAGTTACAGGGAATCTGACAACCTCGCACAGACGCTGATGCGTATATATGCATTATATATAATTATATATAATTACATATTTATATATAATTATAATATATAATGTATATTATGTGCATTAGTGTCCGTGAGGGTGTCAGATATATAATATACTTATATATAATTATAACATATATAATGCATATTTAATATGTGTTTTATATATGCAATATAAAATAACTCATAAAGACACCTAAGAACTCGTATTTTCAGTTTATGCCCAGGAGGTGGCACCATGTCACCGCAGCAGAAGTCAAATAATTTGATGATGATGATAATCAATGTAGTTGTTTCAGGAAGTCTTTTCTGCACTGTCACTGTCACACACTTGGATCCTTCTTGTGTCTGCAGAGACGCTCTTTAAGCTTAGAGCCTCTTACATGGTACTTTCTCTCAGGACAGTGATGACTGAGGGCCAGCTGGGTTCTCAGCAATCCCAGGTGAGTGCCGAGGGAGACGGCAGGATTCTGAGCCCTTACCTCTACTCTGCAGCTTCCGAAATCCCACCTAGTCAGGGTTTCTAAAAATGGCACTGGGCAGGGCAACTGGCCAGGTTCCTAACATGCCAGCTTATTTGAATATACCGGCCAGTAGGCTATATCGTGAGATCTTCTAATAAGAACATTCTGTCCCTTTGAGAAGCCTACCAAATAACCGTCATTGGAAAGCATCTTGGAGAGCCTGGGATCGAAGCCACGGAATCCCCAAGCTTCGAAGCCAGCGTTAGACTCCTTAGTCATGTCTACATGAAATCCACCTCACCTTTGATGTCGTCTACTCTCTCAGGGGCTTCCAAATTATGCCAAAGCCGTAGATTTCCTCAGGGATATCTGGGGGTGGGGACACAGCGAAGAATCAGGAAGCAAATTATCAGCAGAACTGCAGGGGTCTCGTCTTGCTCTAAAGCTGTGCGTCCCCATGGTGGCTGCTAGCCACAGGTGTGGTGCCTGCTTACTTCAGGTGTGGGGGTCACATCAGAAGCAGGTCTAGCAATTTAAAAGGAAAGGGCTGGAGGGCTGGCTGGCTGGTGAGATCTGGTGCTGCTCTTCCAGAGGATCTGGGTTCAGTTCTCGGCTCCATATTTTTGGTTCATATCTGCCTGTAACTCCTGCTCCAGGGAAAGGGCAACACCTCTGGCCATATTCACAAGCACACACACACTCACACACAAACACACACTCTCTCTCTCTTTCTCTCTCTCTCTCTCTCTCTCTCTCTCTCACACACACACACACAACATAATTTAAAATAACCTTAAAAAGACAAGAAACAAACACCAGGGAACTAAAGACCATGCTGTAAACAAAATAACAAAGAGGCTGAAAACATGAAGGCAAGTCAGAGAAGCCTGGGCAGAGGAGAAGGGCAGTGGTGGCAGTCTAAGGAAAATGACCACCTTTCTATTGGCATCCCAAATGGACTCTAAAGGGAATAGATGTTCAAAGACACAAGAAAATGCTTGAGAAGCAAAAGAGGAATTTACAGAAAGGTGAAGTGTCCCAGGTGACAAAGGCACAATGACAACCAACAGTGAACCAACCTAGTAAGAGCTGTGATGACAAAGACAGAAGCTTGTGAGCCATCAGAGAGCTGAAGTTGGGCGGGAGTGATAAACTAGAGCACTGTTTCACCCTTCCTAATGCTGGGACCTGCTGGGACCCTCAATACGGTTTGTTTGGTGGCTACTTCACGACTGTAATGTTGCTACCGTTGTGAATCGTAATGTAAATATCTGATATGCAGGATATCTGACACACAACCCCCCATGAGGTCATGACTGATGAGAACCACTGGTTTCCTGGGTTCAGACACTTGCTGTGCAAGCCTTGACACCTGA